GTCCAATACTGAGAGAATATTGACAGGCAATAGAGCATTTTGATTGGTTGATTTTAGTTATTGGCCCTCTGACTTCCCGAGTCGTGTAATAAAGTCAATTACTGACTTTTAATTAAAAAGTGCTTGAGCAGAAGATGTGAGAGCCCATGTCTCAAATACTATTTGCCTGGTCTCTGTAGGGTTTTGCTGCCCATATTTCACCATTTGCAGAAGTACGAGATCTTGGAAATCTTCTGACAAGAAGTGGATTCTCTCTGACGACAGTTGTAAGTTGGTGCAAGTGTTCATTCGATTTCTTCCACAGTAGCTCTCCAATTTTAAAATAAACAATAAGTGGTCTCAACCTTTTAGCTCCCAGAAGTGATTAACATGTAACTTTTCCCTAAAATATCTATTCATTATCAAGCAAATAGGAAAATGAGAATACTCAAACTTATCAGGTAGAAGTTGTTACTTTGATTGAACACCAAATTCTCGTAACTAAATTACAAGGAAATGTGTTGCAGCTAGAGGGGAGAATTCATAGTCAGATATTGTGTGTTTAAAGGTTAAACGAGAGAATCAGTTGGTTGATAGTGTGGTTGTTTGATGAAGGTATGGTCTTGTTTTGGAAAGGACAGTTCCCAGAGACAATGATCGACTAAAAACAATATTTTGTTTCATAAAGGCTATAACATAGCCAAAAAATTTTTTGGCTAACATTTGACAGTTTAGACATGTCTAGCTGTTGGCTGTCTTTTCCAAGACTGAATTCAATGTCATGTTGCCATAATAAGGAGTTAAATGGGATATTATTTGACAAGTTCACAGCATAATAATATTCCAGTGTAGAAAGTGTCAGTGTTAAGGTCCTCTTTCACACAAAGTCGGTAAGTTTTCATGATTTGATTTAATGTTGGGACTTTGCATGCTGGAATGTGCATGAATGCTAACAAATTTACATTTCTTTAATTTTGAGGAAAACAGCCAACAGCTATCAAAAATTGTTAACTTTTAAGAAAAACTTTAATGTCTATTAATGATACTGTGTCTTCAATCTTCAGTGTACTTTGGCCTCATGAATTTCATCCAAATAAAGTGATTGATGTTTTTTTCTCTGGTGGAAATTCACCTAAAAGTCTAGCAAAGACTCGTTTGCCAAACAATTGCTACCAGACTGTTTGTTAAAAATGGATCAATTGGTCAGATTTGTTGTGGTTTCTTAGATTATAACCTGTGATTTTTATACTTTACATTTGTAAGGTTAATTTGTTCTTTTTGCACTGAATTCTTTTCAGGATTTTGATGAAGTAACAATAGGATACCCCAGCATGCTTGAGCTAATGCAGGATCTAAAAGGCATGGGAGAAAACAATGCAGCTTGGAATAGGAAGACGGTACTGCACAGAGACACAATTTTAGCAGCTTCATCCATTTACCAAGGTAAAATAGTTATCTTTTAGCTGTCTACTAAATAGATGTAAGCTATAATTCTTATTGTTCAGGGTCCAGTTTTTTGAAGGATGATTGGCACTAACCCAAGGTTAAATTTTAATCCAGGTTTCCTATTTCTCTATTTAATTTAATTTAATTTAATAACTTCTAGAGCGCTATTTTCATTCAATGATCAACAGTGCTTAACAACTTAGAATACTACGGTAAATTCAAATTTATAAAACTAATTAGAACATAGCTAGCAGAGTCGCGCAATCAAATTCATTATACGTGAGCGTGCTCAAAATCCCGATAGTGCACGCTGATAGCGTCAGCAAATCCAACTTCGCCAGAAATTTTTCTTTTCGCGCGGGCAGCCATTGTTAGTGCGGGGAAAAATAATATATTTTGCAACAGTAATGGATACAAACAGAAACTTGGCCTACTAGTCTGAAAACGAAGACAATGTTTCGACCTTTTCCCTTGGGTTAGAGTTCTTAAATGAGGCAGAAAAAGAGAAAAACAACGGAAAAGGAGACTCGGCATTTGCACCGTCACAATTCACTTCAACTGATATTGTTGTCCGTTTTTCGCATCGGATTTGATGCACAATTCCACCGGCTATGTTCTAAAACAATTGGTTCATGCTTTCAGCTGTGCACTATCGAGTTATGGAGCACGTGGGAAGTTTGGAGAACACTCAAGAAGCTAGAGTTGCCCTCGGCTATAGCCTCGCGCAACTCTTACGCTTCTTTCGTGCTCTCCAAACTTCCCGCGTGCTCCATAACTCGATAGTGCGCGCTAAAGCATGAACCAATTGTTAATTACATGTACATTAATATTAACAAAGTATGTTAAAAATGAGAATAGTATAGAGTATCCATAATAAAGATCTTAATTAGGAATAAGGATCTTAATAAGGAACTTAATTAGTAATACTAATTAAAGTAATTGTCAGACAGGGTACTTTGAGAAAGCTGCATGAAATAAATAAGTTTTCAGCTTACATTTAAAAATGGAAAATATTCAAGAAAATATTCTATTCAAGAACCTTTTTGGGATAATTTTCCCTGTTCTTTTGAGAGCATCTGATCATCAAATTGTAGACAAGTATAGTTAAACTGAACTTTCTTTTAAAGCTTTCAGATCTGAAATCAAATTTCACACTAACCCTGGTTAATCTAAACCCAGCTTTGAACAGCCTGGCCCAGGTCTAGTGATCGATGGTTATGGTCTCAAAAATTAATTAGTCTTGGAAACTTTTGTTTAATTTTCAAAAACTACATTAATGTTAAGTTAGTAATGGATTAGTCAGATAATAACATTGCATCTCAATTTTGTCTTTTCTCTTCCAATTAATGAAGTTACATATATATACACCATGGAGAAAGTCTGTCTGTATGGTATCCATGCACCTGTTGACCTATATTAGAAATAAATTATCACTTGTCTGATGTGCTCACTTAACAATTGACTTCTGATTTTGATTCCAAATCGTGTGTAAATATCATATGAACACACTTTCCATGAAGTATTCTTATATTATGTTTCTAGATATGTATGGTCTAGAAGATGGTGGAATTCCAGCAACGTTTTTTGTACTTTATATGATTGGCTGGAAGCCTCATGACTCTCAGGTAGGAAAGAACTACATTATCTTTGTTGATTTTATCATATAAGGGGCAAAATTACTGAATTGTGATTGGTAAAGACAGCGGGCATTTTTTCTTAATTTTTGTAATTGTCCCGGGCAAAATTACTTGAAAATGATAGGCTGAAAATCGCTTCACAACGGCTGCCAAGGTAAATAAATTTCTTTTTGTTTTGTAACAATGGCATCTCGTTTTGTGCGAGATCAGTAAGAGAACATTTTGCCGCTTATATTATAAACAAGTAATCACATGGTTCCTTGTAAAATTAAGGATTGATATCACTTGTGTTTTCGGAAGTTGCAGAAATTGCCCTCTTCGCTGCACAAACTTCCAAAAACATGCGTGATATCAATCCTTCATTTTACTCGGCCCCATGTGATTACCTAAGTATACTTATTAATACTTTAACTCCTAGCAGTGGCTAGCAGGTGACTTCTCCCATACATTATCCAGTGATCTTGATCAACATCAAAATTCTGATAATTAATCTACAGGGAAATACTGTCTTAGGTATCAGCTCAAGGGGAGAATTAAGAAGCAGATCTTGGGAGTTGAAAAATCAAAAGAGCACTTACAGTATATTATCTACTGGAATTTGATTAGCAAAACTCCACAACAGTTTGTTTTATGGTTTGGTGGTTCTCACATTGTGTTTGGTATGCACAATTGTTTTCAAGATAATTTAGATTTTTGCTAGGAACTAATATTTGACTAAAGATGGTGAAGATTTTGGAGCATTTTCTTTGAATTACTTTTTTTTTTCCACTGGAGCTGGTGTTTGAGATCAAGGACATTCTGCAAACAATGAACAGGGTATTTTTTTTAACATTAGTAATTTAACTGGTCCATTTCTTCCAGGTCTAGAGTTTAACGTAAAACAGGAAGAACAAAGAATTGAACAATAATTTTATACCAACTGAAGATTACCAAATTACATTATAACATAACCAAAGTAAAGCGCACGCTCTGATTGGTCAATTTAGCGTCCCCCATTTGCCCATGGGTGTACGCTGCTGACATGAGCAAATGCAGACTACTTTTACATGCGCGCTTGTTTTTTCTGGTCGCGTAAGATTTGTTAAATAAAAGGGAACTCTTTGGCTACAATGTATCAATGTTATGTTATAAAACAAATGGTAAACACCACAGCGTACACTATTGAGTTATGGATGCACTTGGGAGGTTTGCTAAGCACTCAAGAGGCTAGAGTTGCTCTCGGCTATCACCTTGAGCGACTCTT